CCATCTTCTGTCTTCATAATTACTGTTCTTTTATTGTCCTTTCTCCTCACTGAACTTTTCTCATTCTTTTTCACTCCCAATAATCCCTTGTGTTTTACAAGCAATTCGCCTTGCTTGAGGTGGAATGATTTAAAAAAAATGCTTGGAAATCTATCTGTTGTAAGTAGACGTGAGACGCAGGTTTCCAGCGAACGCTCCTCATGACCTCTGACCTTAGTAATCACTCTTTATATTCATGTGTGTGTGTGTGTGTGTTGTGTGTGTGTGTGTGTGTTGTGTGTGTGTGTGTGTGTGTGTGTGAGTTAGCCGAACTGGCTGCGTTTATCAAATAAATGAGGTGACCTTTTACACCATACTGTTTGAGCAAACATTTCAGCTGGAAAGATTGACGGGTGGATATTTATCAAGTTTTCAGAAATTCTACCAATGTCAATGAAGTATGTCATGATTTATGTTAGTGAAAAATGTCACACAGGCATACAAATTCGTTGAATACACGCAACTATTCATACACGCGCTTGCGCGTACCGGATATACGGCTTCAACGGAAACTATAGCAGGGAGTTCAAAAGCATTAATGGATAGCGCAAGTTTTCAGCTACAAAAATATTCCTCTTTTTCCATGTGTGGTTATATTTTCTCTGAAATTGAATCTGATCAGTCAGCATGACTGATACACGCAGGGCCGGCGCAAGGGTAGCGTAACCCTTACCCCGATTTTCCCCCAATCTATGATACGGGGCACCCACTCTACTACATCTCAATTTTCATAAGGTAGTATTCACATAAAAAAGCAAATTTTATCGTAACCTAATTATGTACAATAATGGATCATATGCAATATAGGTGAACAATTCAATTAGAAAAATTGAAAATGAATGCAATGTATCTAAAATCAAATTAGAGACCTATCGTAATAGATCAAATGTGAATGTTTGAAATGTGCTTAAAGGTAAAAATAGAACATCATAACGCTCTTCATAGCCGAGTTGTTTAAATCACGTCTGATCTTACGACAATTTTTCCTGTAATGAATGGCACAGGTTTATATATATATATATATATATATATATATATATATATATATATATATATATATTTTTTCTTCATCCTTTCCTGAAACACCCTCTTTTCTCTTACTTTCACTCTTTTTTGTGACCATTTGCATTCTAGTGGTACTCCCGCCTTGCTTGGGGTGAAATGCTTAAAAAAAGAAAAAAAAATTACAGCCGCCAGTAATTATGAGAGCTAAAGTTGGTAGAAGTCATGCGGTGCCTCATTCTCTTGGCAAACAGCGACTTAGCTCCTTCGAGTAATCGCTTACATTTATTACGAGAAGCAACGAAAAGGCACTTGCTGTGACGAGAGCTGATACGCTGGTATAGCCGAAAATAGAGGTTTCTGTGCGTCATGTTGGTGTGACCGAAGAGGATTGAGGTTTCACCTGGTATTTCTGAGAAGGAATAGCGCATTTTTCAATTGGATGGTTGAAGACGTCACTTCAAGGAAAGAGGTCTTATTTGGATAGTGGGGTTCCTGTTGAATCGATGATTGGAACGAAATATTAAAAGTTATCTGCTGCAAAAATTGGGTGGAAGCACACACAGGAAAAGAAAAGTAGTACAAGTCCAATAGGTTCACTAGGCAAAACAAATCCACACTTCTCGTCTTGATCTCCAATAAAGCACTCACCGTCACAAACGAAAAACTGAACACCTCTTAAATGAGCATACCATGTTTTTATACACCTGACCCAGCCAAGACTCAGCCAATGAGCGCCCAGAACCAGCCAAACAAAAAATGGCTACAAGGGACAACACCACCTCCATCAACACGAAGTGCTGTCCGATTCACCGTCCGTTCGAAGGTCGTCGATTCGCCGTCACCTTACTCCCTTGCAAAACATACACGCGACTCTGGCTGTTTTGGGTCGCCGAGGTAAGTCACTGCTACATTATCTGAGTTACCAAGAGGGCAGTGTTGATAAGCTCGGCAAGAGCGAGGATATCGGTTCTAATGAAATAAAATATCACCATGACTTTTTAAAGTCTTCGTTTTTTAATAATTATATATTATATATATATATATATATATATATATATATATATATATATATATATATATGAAGTGAATACATAATATCCAACGACGATAATACTACTTAAAGTTACATGCAGTTAATGCAATCATCAGGTGTGGAATCTGACCGTTATCTATCGCGTTCTCGTGAATCCACACCTGAAGATTGCATTAACTGCATGAAACTCCAAGTAGTGTTATCGATGGTGGATATTATGTATATTCACTAATACATACTTATAGCTCTGTTTCATAACATTGAGCACTGTATTTATAATACCAGAGGAATAAATACACTCAGATACGTGCAAGTATTTGTGTGTGTATGTACTACACATTCCTATATATATATATATATCTCCACAGTTATGGATTAAATTGTAGGTCTTTTATATGGCAAAATCATTGTTATTCTAAAAAAATAGTTAATGCAATATTCCCACACAAAAAAAATTACTTTTCCAATCCAAAATGTGTTCCAGTGTTGATAAACCGTAAAATACAAATTAGTCTCTACCTTTTGACCCAACTTTTTGAACACCTATTTTACTCATCTAAAAACAAATAATGAGTGACACCATTAGAAATTCACTCGTAAAACACGCTGTGCACACGCATCAGTCAAACGGATCTTTCTGATAATAAAAAACCTCCCACTGAATGACATTTCATCACAGCTGTTACTGAGTCAACAAGAAAAAAATGAGTGACATTATACAATATGTCAATGCACTCTATTAAGACGTTTATTAAAAATATTTTTGAAACGCCATCCCCCACCCGTGATCATGCTTATTAGTAAGATTGTATTTAAAACTCGCGTCATAGTTAAAATTTGTTCATGTACTTGGGAAAGGATTGTACTTTAGAACACACGCATCCGTATATATATATATATATATATATATATATATATATATATGTGTGTGTGTGTGTGTGTGTGTGTTTGTGTGTGTGTGTGTGAGTTGTGGCTCTGTCTTTGGATAGAGTGCGCTCAGGGGCGGCTCCGTCAAAGGAGTCGCAAAACCGAGGAAAATTATGCTGAGAGGTGCCCAGTCCTGGGGAAAACAGTTGCAGTAGAGAGAGGGATCGGTGTTCGCACCGAGGCTAGGCGCAACCGACGGTTGTGGGGCTCGGTTAATTTTTGTTCCTAGCCCGGGTGTACGCGCTCAGGCTCTCCACATTAAACCAACTTGTGTCACAACCTGACCTCGTGGGGGATTGAGTGAATATTATATATATATATATATATATATATATATATATATATATATAATACTAATATTAACCCAATATAAAGCTCAAGAGCCACTCAAGTTAGAGGGTTACTATTGTGTTGTATGAGCGCAAGAAAGGTCAATAAGTGAGGTTCTTGGGACTCTACGGGAAAGATAACGGCTAACTCTAGACTTGAAGAGGTCAAGATTTAATTAGTGGATAACAATTTCAGAGATCAGTCGGAGATATTAGAAGTATAGAAAAGTGGAAGTAGACATCAGAAGGAAGAGGAAACTCACTCCTAAACAGGAAACAAAGGATAAACCTCTACTCCGGTTCAAAAAATCAGAAAGTTGTGTGAACCGGACGACAATCAAACCTCTCTATTCCCATCGGGAGATGAAAAATAATAGTGAATAATATTTCGGAATTCAGTCGGATACGTTAGAAGAGCGGAAGTAGACTTCAGAAGAAACCGGAAACCCCATCCTAAACTGGGAACAAGGGATAAACTTTTACTCTTATTCAAAAGTCTGTGTAGGGGTGTGAACTGGGTGATAGTCGAATCTTTCTATTCCGATTGGGAGAGACGAAAAAAATTAGTGAATAAAATTTCAGAGGTCAGTCAATATCGAATTGAAGTAGCCTTTTGAAGGAACCGGAAACCCAATCCTAAACAGGGAACACTGGATAAACTGTTACCCCTGTTCAAAAGACCATAAAGTAGTGTAAACTGGTCGATAGGCGAACCTATTTACGCGAGTATGCCGATAAACAAAAGGATATTTGCTTCTGCAAAGGCACCCCATCAGTTTGTCATAGTTAACTTATCTTTGGAAATCGTTAGAAATTTAGCATGTCTTAACCTGGAACAAAGTCACTAATGAGGAATTCGCGACGAGGGTCGAACTCGTCGGAAAAATAGTACCGTATATGTCGGCGTACAAGTGGTTTATGGTAAGTTGTTAGAATGGAAGATTTCCTGTCGGACCTCCTTTTTTTTTTTTAATGATGTTGAAGAAAAACATAACTGGATGTGTGTCTCAACAAGCCTTCTAAAGATCGCATTTGAGAAAAGTGGAATGGGTGGATGGTTAGCGGGGGAAAAGTCATTCAGGCTAACGTAATAGCCTACCTCAAAAACAGATCATCCACTCATGAGGTATTGCAGATTGCGGTAGTTAAGTGACAATATCCCCCACCGTTTTTTCATTAAAATTTGAGTGAACAGAAACTATATTACAGAATTTATTTAATAAATTCAATACATTTTAAAATATGAATTTGGTGAAGTCGTCTTGTATATACCCCGAAAACCTACATTTTAACTTGAAAATTTGCGGGCCGTCTTATACGGTCAGTCGTCTTGTACACCAGCATGTACGGTAATAGTGTGTTATATGAGATTACACCACGTGAGGCTCCCGGACACTTGATTGGTTGTTTTTGTTTAGCTGCATATCAGTCTCTATGGGTTATTTAATGCCGAAATCTAAATATTTTACTATTTTTATTTTTTGAAACAATAGTGATTTTAGTTATACAAGTCTTACTAATTAACCGATAGCTGGAGGGATACGAGGTTGACTTTACCCAAGGGTATTTTAGCATCAGTGAATATAACGAAATCTACTGGAATTGGAACTCAGCTCTCCGATTAATAATTTCGAACCGTCATCCATTACACCACTCGCACATCTAAGCTTACAGCTCCTGGTATTCCCAAGCGATTATCCATCTAGCTACTTATCAGGCTCGACATTGATTAATTTCGGTGATTGTACGGGATCCGGTGTTTCAACGTGATATGGCCGTAAGCACTTTATACCCTCACTTCCACAGCTTACAGCACCTGGTATTCCCAAGCAGTCACTCGTCTAGGTACTTAGCAGACTCGACGTGACTTAACTTCGATGAACGTATAGGAACCAGTGCTTCAAAGTGATATGGCCATAAGCCCTGAGCTCTTCAGTTGGTAATACAAGTCGGTGATAATACTGTTAAAAACCTCGATATATAAATATTCATTCATTTATTTTTTTAATCAGTTTACCCCAAGAAAGGCGATAACCACAATAAGATACAAGGGATCACTAAAAATGAAAGAGAAGAAAATACTTTAGAAGGAACCAGAAATCTAATAATCATATAAATTTCAGAGTTTAGGCGGAGACGTTAGAAATATTTAAGTAGAATTTAGAAGTAACCGGAAACCCAGTTCTAAACCGGAAACAAGAGATAACCCTCTACTTCTGTTCACAAGACTGGGGAGCAGTGTTAATTGGATGATAGGCGAACGTATCTACTTTTATTGAGAAAAAAGTAAATGAATAGTAAATAAAATTTCAAAGTTATAGGCGTGGACGTTAGAATTACAGAGGTGAAGTAGAATTTAGAAAGAACTGGAAACTCAGTCCCTAACAAGAAACAAAGGATAAACCTTTTCTCCCGTTCAAAAGACCAGGATGGAGTGTAAGCTGGGCGATATGCTAACCTATCTACTTCTATTAAAATATAATTTATTTAAAAATAATTTATTACTTAAAAAACTTTAATCTGTTTTTGAGTCTTTAGCGAATTGCTTGTGTAGAATCTTTGTGTCAATAAAGACAGCTGATGATTGATCAGGGTAGAGATTCGTGACGTCGGGGTGGTGGTGGATATTTTTCAAAGCAACACAAGTTTGTCGTATCGCCCAAATCTTCCTTTCATGGAAGCATTATTTATAGATTTTGTTAGCTTTATTTCTATCACCAGCATTATTTATAGAATTTGATCCGCAGTTGAACTGCTTTCGAAATGTGAGTTAATACTCTCAAACCCCGTTCTTGTCTTATCTATTAAATATTATCCTATCTAATCCTATTAATATATGATATTTCTTTTATTTATTTTATTTTTTCCTCTGTGCAACGTAAGCCACAAGTTGGGAACATTCAGTCTAGCTTTTTGACCATTATACCACAATCAGACGACCAATTAAGCTGTATTGTTTTGGTATTCAGACAATGGCATCCGATATTCCAGCTGTTAAGAGAGACAGACAGCTTTTTCTCAAGAGTTGCTGATTTGAGAAACAGAGCCACCCCGTGTGGATACATCCCCACAGGCTACAATATTGAACTCTTAAAATCAAATGTCAATCGTTACATATTCACCATATACTAATAACCCCTACTTCCTATTTCCTACTCTTGCATTGATATCATTGATAGGTAGGTTTGTCTGGCTCTTTAGGATTATTTTAGTTTTGCTCTGCTTAGTGTATTGAGCACTTTACGTTTAGTCTTTTACTTGTTTTTTTTTTTCTATGGACTTGGAGCTCAAGCACTTAATGAGGGATTCGTACAGTGTTAGGTTCTTGTTTTTTTCTTTTTTATTTCCAATTTTTCTTCGGACATCAGTTTGTTATATTAGAAGTTGAACACAAATGTCTCTCTTTGACCGCCAGTCTAAGAAAGACATTTGTCTGCCAATACCATATAAATGATGGACTATTCCATTTTGATTGCGTGGAAAGACGTGAAAGAACATATTTGGTTTGAGTAATGAAGAAAGAACATTTCTATCTTCCCTCCAGTCTTTCTTTCTATCATCGCTTCTTTCTTTCTTTCTTTCTTTCTTTCTTTCTTTCTTTATATCTTCATTTATTTTCTTTCTTTATATCTTCCCTTTCTTTTTTATATCACACACCTCATTCAACAACCTTCTATCTTGATTGATTCTCGAGCCTAGTATTGGATGCAAAATATTATGTCTGTTAGTTCAGCTTATTAACCATTTCATTATGGGTGAAGTAACCGAGATTTGCAACCAAATCCGAAGTCGTGACCAGAGAAAATTATATTTACTAGAAAGACTCGTGAAAAATTCATGGTTTTCCTATTTTAATTTTCTGATAGATCTTAATTCCTCAGTTAATGATTTGTGACGAACGCGCATCAGTACAGACCCTAACGAGTTCCCGGATAGCGTGCAGACAGGTCTGCGAAAACCAGTTACATCCGGGTTTTCCCCGTCGGCAGCGGAACAGCTTGGCATGTCTAGATACGGGACTCTCTGCAACTTGTCCAGATCTGGGTTTCAGTCAACTGTCTCGACGGGAAAACCAGCAGTCAGTAGTAGTCGGGACTCAGTGTTTGGTGAAGTCGGTTTCGCGCTCATTTTTGTTTCTCAAGTTGCGCGCCGCTAGCCTCACTGTGATTTCTGAGACGGTGTTGCTACTGTATCCTTCCGTATCTTTCCCTCAGCTGCCTGTTACCATGGTGGTTATTGGGAGAGCAATTAGGTGTCCCCCCAACGCCAACCTCAACACACCCTTGTCGTATTTTACAACTAGCTATTTCGGAATTCATGTCGGACGACAAATTCGATCTGAGGCTAATCCCAGAATTTGACGGTTCAGACCAGAGTCTACCTATCGTTAAATGGTTCAAAAAGATTGAAATGGTCTGTGATTTGTGCGACGTGAAGAACATTGCTAGCGTTCTGCCACTGCGATCGACGGGTGGCGCGTTTGTTGTATTCCAGCAACTCAGGAAGGAAGAAAGAAAAGATGTACGCCGTATCAGGATGCCCTGTACGTTGCCTTTGCCACAGATTCATTCGTAGCATACGACCAGTCTGTAGCTAGGCGCTTGAATTCAAACGAATCTGTACACGTCTGCGTGGCAGACTTCTTCAGGCTGTCAACGGTGGGGTGTCTGCCAGTGAACTTTCGTGTGCATTTGTAGCGGAGTTGCCTAGGAACGTAAGGGGGCTTCCACTTGAATGGATGCCATCCAGCTGTCAGAGCGATCTAGAGTCATACTGAAGGATGATGCGTCGGCGGCGAGATTGATGGTGGCAACCGCGAAGCCTGGGCAACAATAAATAGTCCCAATGATCCGCAGAGTGATATCATTGGCTACCGATGTGATGATGCCTGGCTAGATATTGTTCGAGTCGGCGATCTGGGCAAAGAAGGGTAGAAAGAAAGAAAGAAAGAAAAGGAAGATATAAAGAAAGAAAATGAAGATATATAGAAAGAAAGAAAGAAAGAAAGAAAGAAAAAAGAAAGAAAGAAAGAAAGAAAGGAAAGATATAGAGAAAGATAGGAGGGAGGATAAAAAGAAAGAAAGAAAGAAAGAGAAGATATAAAGAAAGAAAGAAAGAAAGAAAGAAAGCGGGAATATATGAAGAAAGAAATAAAGAAAGAAGGGAGTATATAAAGAAAGAAAGAAAGAAAGAAAGAAAGAAACAAACAAACAAACAAAGAAGGGAATATATGAAGAAAGAAAGAAAGAAAATGAATTTTAATAATATGTGGAAAGAAGAAGGTTGCGAGACCCGAAACACGTGTTGCAAAATTATGAAAAAATAATGCATAATATATATTTTAAAAAAAGATCCACATTACAACCAAAAACGTTTTCGGTTTCTCTCTTTCTTTCTACAATATACATTTTCTCTCGTTGGAACAACTATACCCTCTTCCCCCCCCATATATATATATATATATATATATATATATATATATATATATATATATATATATATATATGTTAAGAAATGGACAAAAGGTCCGACAATTTATTTATTAAAGACATTTTTATGTTTAACGTTGTTATTTATAGATACAAGTATTTAAGCAAATGCTCTGTTTATGATAAACAGTATTAAATAACATTTACCGGCCTGAACGTCCGAGAAATTTTCATAGAAAATATTCGTTCTTTGACAGGATGAAAATGAAAATTTCTCGGACGTTCAGGCCGGTAAATGTTATTTAATACTGTTTATCATAAACAGAGCATTTGCTTAAATACTTGTATCTATAAATAACAACGTTAAACATAAACATGTCTTTAATAAATATATATATATATATATATATATATATATGAATGGTAATACTCGTTTTGAAAAACCTCGGTTGGCTCAACTTGTAATATAACAAATTGATGTCCGAAGAAAATTGGAAATAAAAAAGAAAAAAACCAAGAACCTAACACTGTACGAATCCCTCGTCAAGTGCTTGATCGCCAAGTCCAAAGAAAAAAAAAAAAAAAAAAGAAAACGAGTAAAGTGCTCAATACACTAAGTAGATCAAAACTAAAATAATCCTTATTTTTTCGTTTATATATATATATATATATATATATATATATATATATATATATATACACTACAAAACTGGCATGCAATAAGTATTCAGTATTGATATGTTTGCGTAATCAATACAATACGTTTTGTGGACACGTTTTGTTTTCCATTATTGTAATTTATTTTAAAATGGCTGCGAGAGAGAAATAGTCACAGTTAAATTGAAAATTCATTTTCCCCAACTGCCATTCCCCTTCAGGACGTAACAGGTCACGACCCCACCCCTCCCCAGATGACTTTCTCTTTATTATCGGTTAAACGCTAATTATTCCTGATGAAATTAGCGGAGTGGTTCCTCATTGCTCTCCCTCGGTTCAGAATTCAGATTTTTCCTTTTCTTATACTGGTTACCCATCACGCTAGATAAACTAGTCTACACTGCTCTTTAACCTATATTTTGAGGAAATTCATTTAATGAAAGAAAAAATAACACAAGTAACAATCCTGAAATAAACCCAAATTAGAACATAAATTTAATTGTCTGCGAGAAAAAAATAGTTACAAAATGGAAATCATTTTTTCCAGACTGTAAGCTATCATGACACAACTTTCTCTTCCTTATCTTGTAAATTACCATACATTCTAGGTACAGATAGTGGTATGGTTTCACGTTGCTTCTACGGTTTTTAAGTCCAGACTTTTCTTTTTCATAAGCAGGTTGCCACCCGCGGTTAGAAAACCTAGTTTACCGTACTATTTCACTTGTTATAAAGAAAAAAAAATAGTTTATTTTGTATGGCGAGAGGAAAATAGTTACAATTTATTTCTAAATTCAGTTAACGTAAGAAAATAACACAAAGAGCAACCAATAA